CAGGGTGTTGTTGGAAAGCTGGGGAAGGAAAAGACCCGTATATGCTCCCTTTAATTGCCTTAAAAAAATGCAAAAAGTTGAAAGAAAAAAAGTGGAGCACTCCTGGGCAGTAGTCCCCTCCTGTCAAACTAGGCAGGAGCAGCCTGAGCCCTCTCAGACCATCCTCCTCCAGGAGTGGAACTTTTTATTCACGAGCTGCTTTCCTGCAGTCTCTTCTCAGTGATGAAAGTGGGCCCACGCCAGCCATGCGCCTTGTTCTGTCATTACCAACGCAGCAACTATTCTCTTGGTTCTGGTGCTCTGGCCCCCTCCTCGTTCCTGCCTCCACAGAGGCCCCTGTGCCAACACACCTACCCTCACTCCCGCTCTCCTTCTCTGGGTTTCACTTCCCCTCCCAGTCGCTGAGACCACCAGGCTCCACCTAGAAACCTGTGAGTCCTCAGAGTGACGGCCGATGGATGAAGCAGGCAGGTGGCATTTACAATTGCATCCTTTCTGCCAGGAGCTCACTAACTGTTGTACCAAATCCACCCAACATGCTGATGCCACACAGGGAGACAGAGTGCAAGAGAAACAAGAAAAAAGAGCGATGAATTCTGCAAGCGTCAGTCTCCGTCAGCTAGCAGCAATGCAGTCTCTATCCGTGCACAATCGCATACATATATACGCACGCTCTCGCCAGCACAGGATGAGCGCACAGCTTGATCGCAAACAAACTGATGTGATTAATTCCTTATCTGGGCACTGTTTTGTCGTTGTCTCTGCTTTCCTCTCAGCTCTCTTTTCAGGTCTGTATAAAAATCCTGTGCTCCGGTTTGCTTGCAGGTGGGAAAACCAGATTCATTGTCCCTGATTTACCTTCTTCTGTTCCTCCTTGACTCAATCACGTTGTTGGAATGATTTTCATGTGACGCTGATGGTCTTTTTCTTCGTCGTCATCTTATTCCCCCATATGCTTGTATGTCTCTCTCTCTCTCTTACACTGGTGTCTCTCAAATCTGCTCATTAGAGGCGGACTGTTCCAATGCAGCCAGCTCCCCCTCCCCCTTTCACATGCTCCCTCTCTCCGTGGCTCTCCCTTCATTTAAAAAGACATGCGCTGCGTTAATGCTCATCACTCTCTCTCTCTCTCTATCCACTTCAGGGAGCAAAGATTGCTTTTCCTAATTGCCCAGCTTAGTCCTCCCCCTACCCCCCTGCTAAATCTCCACTGCTCTGCCCTCATAGATTAGAGCATTTGTCAGTTAATGATATGGCTTGACATGGTGCATTAAATTTCTTTGTTGCAGGTGAGATAATATAAAATCTACTCTGTTGACCTTGGCACTTGATCATCTTGACTGTTCTTCACTGGATTCCATGATATCTGTACGCCACAAAGAGCATCTTTTACTGTGATGACTCATATGATTTATGGCCAAAGTATGTTATAATTGAAGACATATTACTTCATACAACACTGTTACAGATAGCTGAGAACATCATGCAGTTCTTCACGGCTTGGTTTATAATTGCTTGTACGGTGTTTGTCCTCCTTCCTTCTTAAACAGATTTTCCTTAGAAGTATCTGGTAATTAAGAAAGCACATTAGGATGCATGAGGATACATGGAGACTTTAAAATACAGTATGTAGATTTATATATATATATATATATATAATATGAAAACAAGGGATGTGATGTATACATGTAACCATGCCATTAATTTTGACTTGCAATTGTGTGTAACAGTCTGTTTGTAAAGAGGAGGAAGGATATTTATCCTCTCAATTACTGGGGATCAGCTCTGACGAAGCTGGGTAAAAATACTCTTGACATGTTGCTTGGGCTCAGCAGGTAGTGATAACCAAGGTTTCATGCAGTAAACAGGTCACCTACAGTTTGACTCCAAGTAGATTTCATGTGACTCGTATATTTCATGTATATTACACTACATACTTGTGTTTGATTGAGCAAGGTTAACAAATTGCTTTTGGGGGTTTAGCTTATCAGGCTACTTTAGTGATAGCCTGCTGTTGGCTTGATTGTCATTAGAGAAGGAGGGGGAGATTTTATAAAGTGGGTTCAGTAGACAGAGTGTGGGAGAGTGTATGTGTATAAGAGAGATTGCAAGGGAATGCGTGAGGCACGATGTATCATTTCAGAATGTCAGTTTTTGCAAGGTTATTCTTATTTATAACCACACTTTCTTGAAAAAAATGACAAGATACAATTTGACAATCAGACATCAAAAGTCAAACTATATTAATAACATTGCCTTGTTAACCATTAAAATAGCAAATTTTTAACCAAAAACACACATACATATGAATTATAATTCATTATCTGTAATTGTATGGGCTGATCCTGTTCTGATAGCTACATAAAATTGTTAAAGGGCAGCAGATGACATTATCATAATGTAATTGTGTGTTTTCTGCTCTACCATGTAGAATTTGATGCACACACACTATGGCTGTGGCTGGTTGAGGCCTGAGGAGCCTTTCCATGAGTTTAAGCCCAGAGACGCAACATCACTCAGACTTGTTAGTAAAACAGGCCGTGATGACTCACGCTCCCCTGCAGCACAACTGAAATAATCAAGGCTGTTATTGAAAATTTGGAGAGTTATTAAATTAGCTTTTCTTAACTGTTTAACCACAGAGAAGCAATAGCAGAAAGAGGGACATTTGCTAACTCAGGATTTTAAGTTTGTATTAGGGATGAGCATGTTAAATCATCTCAAACACATGTACTCTCAAAGTACATAGGGCAAAGATTTGAATGTGAATTGTTGGTGAAAGTGAATCTACATAAGCGTAAGACAAACGTTTTTGGCATCCCACTCGCTAGCTAACTCAAAAGATAAAAACACTCAGAAAGTATGTCTCCTTGCTTTTCCTGTTGATTACCGTATTATCTTATTATCTATAAGTATGAACCACCATTTTTTGTTGTGGCTAGCTTGACCTTGTGTAGTTTTGGTGTCTAATGAATTGGTCCAAAGGTACCACTGAAAATTTTACTGTAACACATTAAATTACAAATTATAGGTTATATGTCGAACATCACCTGACCAAACCCGGAAAACCGGTCTCATCGCTTCCACTTGTCGGAGAATGTGCTAACAGCTGTAATAAATAATAGCTATATCTATGGACTTTTAAGATAATCAGTTAAACTAGCTAGCTGTTTTTATTGTTGACGTTTTATTAAAAAAAATGTTATCTAAATGTTAGTGAAAAGAATAAAAATAAAAAACTTTTAGATATCAGTCCGCATATGTGATGGACATTGGTTATGATAATCTTTGGTATCTACTTTGAAGGCATCTTGAGTAAAATTGCTTCATATTTAATGAAGCATATGCAAAATGCTTGAACCGGAAGCGACGAGACCCGGTTAACAGAATACGGAAGTCTGTTGCGCATAACCCCTATTTGACATGTTTTGAATTCAGTATATGTCACATCATGCATTTCATGGCCAATCATTGCTGGTAATTTTAAATACTTATGTACTCTGGGTTTTTTTTTTTTTTTTTTTTTTTTTTTTCCCCCACCCTG